AACCACAAAAGTTCATTGGGAATTTTTTTTTTTTTTTGGTGTGAAAATGTAAAAAAAAGACAAAACAAACAAAACAAAGTTCAAGAAATACTGTATGTGTACGGTTTGAATATAATGAATAAATGGTACTGGAAATGATCGAATTTTTCTGTACCAATTTCTACTTAATGTAGGTTTAATGTATGTGTGTGTGCTTGTGCCCGCTACCGATGCCGTGTGGCTTCTCCATCCAGTGAGTATGACGTCGGCTTCAGAAAGCCGCCAGCAGACGGTAGGGAAAAGAGGTTCGTCCGGTCCACCATCTTGATAGCAGAGCGCTTGAACTGGAGCCTGCCTCAACACTGAATCAGCTAAGCATACATGAGCAGGAGTTAACTAGATCCTATCGCACACAAGCAGCAAGAGGCAGCGTTAGGCAAACTGGAAATCGCCACACACATGCTTCTTAAAAGGCAAGGTACTAAGTATTACGTAACGGAATATTCTCTTGAGACTTTAGATTGAGGCAGACAAACATTCTTAAGCTTTTTACATACAATAATTTATTAATGTGTCAGACAAAGAACATCAGTATTAGTGAGTTCACAAGAGTTCACCAGTCTGTTATCAATTCCTTAACTCTGTCACACACCACACACACCCAACACACACACAACACTCACTGACTACCCACCACACACAACACGACACACACACGCACCCAACGCTTCAGTGCTCCCCAGCACTTTCGCACTCACGGTTAAACATCCGTAGTTCTTGCAATGCATCATTATTCCCGAGTGAAGAACTTCTCCTGGCGGCCCGCATGCCCTGGTCTGATGTCGCGAGCCACCACAGTCTCCTGACCCCACAAGCATCGTCCTAAAGAGAAAACAAACTTTGTTATCTCGAGATAATGAATTAATAAGTCGTTATCACGAGATAACAGTGTGTGAAAATAAAAACAACCCATGACCCTTCTCAGCTTCCGTAGTTATCTTTGCCAGTAAAATGTATAAAATCTGAATTACGTAACATCGTATCGTCTGTGAGTCCTGATGGAAGAGCAGTTCAGTTACAGCGTCCACCTGGATACCTTTATGACATCACTGCGCCGCAGTTTGGATCTGTGATGCGTTTCAGAGCGCCGCTGCCTGACGTCGGTTACGACTTCCTGTCTGGAGTCGGCACGCTGCATTTTATTTTGAAAAAACTTCCTGTCAGTGCTGAGTGACGCGAGAGGGTCTCAGTGTGTGTGTGTGTGTGTGTCTTTCTCTGTGTGTGTGTAAATACTCACCACGTTGATCAGCTGTGCCAGAGACACCTGGATGTAAATGGTGACCTGCTGGCTGTTGTTGACAGCTGGTCTGATCAGCTTGTTGTAGCGCTCCGGTGACAACAGGTGACTCACCAGCCGTTCCTCCACCTCCGCACACAAGGCAGCTGCATACACGCACACACACACACACACACACACACACAGGAAAAAAACAACAAAGCAGCAATTTAGCAGATGTTTTGTTGATATGAAAGAGCTTCTTCTTAGTGTTATCAACCTTGTTTTGAGCATTAATGAAAGTCTTCTGCGAAAATAATTGAATTAATGACACAAAACCTGACTTCATTCACAAATATTCTCTCAACTGACCTCTTTGTCAGACGTACTGATTATCAGTATAGCTGAACATGTTCATAATTTGAAAACCCGAACACACACATGCCTGGTGCATAGTTGGCAAAGCGATGTCTAAATCTCGTGCTGTGAGGTCTCACCAATAAGGTGCTGCAGCGATAGAACATGCTGCATGTCCTCAGATGTAATGAGTGTGTAATGAGAGTAACAATGCATGCAATCTGCCGTCAGTCCATATGACAATAATGAGCCACATTTTAACAAACTCACATACGCACGCACAGCCACTGAGCCCCCGCAGGGCTGATTTCACCCTTGTAATCGACAGAGAACAGTGGGTCACAGAGCTTCAGTGATAGTGTGTGGTTTGAAACACAGACACTGCCAAACTTGTGAAACTTGTGAAGAGAATTATAAGAGTAATAAGAGTCTCAGTCTCTTATTTTGGCTTTTTCATTTTTTTAAAACCCAAACTTAACTCAACTTTAAAAAAAAGGCTCTGATTTCTACCTCTTTATCTGCTGTTCTTCTGTTGAAAATCAAGAAATATTAAGATGGATTTATCATTACCTAGTTCTCTTGCTTAACTTATCTGCAATCTAAATAATCTATTTTTCTTCTGTGCTCCTGTACAAGCAAGTAGGCACTCTGTGTCACATACACTTTCATTTAAAATCCTTTCCCCTTGTGTTTTGTCATGTACCTGTTCTTTCCTTTTCTTTTGTTTATTTTTCTGGACGTTGTTTTCTGAAAGGCTTTTGTGAACGCCTTGTTTGTGCTCCATAAATAAACTTTACTTGACGTGACTGTTGGCTATGGCTTTCCTGCTTACAAGACAGTATAAACCGGAGGGTGACAAGAGAGATAAGAGAGAGAGGTGGGTTACATAACGGGTCAATACTGTGTATATCTCAGCCGAAAGCAACATACAGTAAGCCTCCATCTTCAAAAAGGATGTTACATAAAGTATGACAATTAAACTTAATATTGTAATTATGTCATTGTCATAATTAGTTACTTTGGTAACACAAAGCAGATACCAGAGAGCCAGAAAAGTAACTAATCTCTAGAGGTATGGATGTTTTTGTCTGACCCTTTACATTCAGCTCAGTGTTGCACTGTAGTTATAACATCTGTCATGGCAACAGACATTTTCCTCTATTGCAGTAAAGAAAGAAACCAACATGAGAAAGTTACAATGTGGAAAATAAGGATGAAGAAATTATAGATAGAAACACCAAAATACACCATCATTATCATTCGTACAATATCAGATCTTCAGAAGTGAACATTAAGCTTCAGCTTTCTCCCGACATTTGTTCCCCCTTGATGATTCAGCCAGGATATCGTTAACACATATGCACATTTGTTTTCATGGATGGAATTTATTGGAAAACAAGAGTCAGACAGCCAGGCTTGCTTTTAGCTATGACCTTACCTACATCTGGAAACAACCATTCAAGATTCAGGGCCAATGAGTCAGCAAGTGTCCAGTCAGGTGTAGTGTGTGTGTGTGTTGACGTCTTAATGAAGAAAAACATTTTCAGTCCTCTGTTATGTAGCCTCCTTGAAGTGATGTCTGTTTTCATTTAAGTCATCCATGGCCTTGCCAGAACACAGCAAGCCCAAAGAAAATTGTGGTTTGCCTTTACTGGGCCAAGGGAAATCTGACTTGAACTGACAAAAACAATGACAAAAAGATTAGGAGATTTTGGAGGTGGGCTGATTCTAAAAGGTCTGCCAGTAGACAATTAAACTTCCATTAAAAAAAGGGAGTCGTTAGAAGATAAGGAGAGTTGTGTAAGTTTGTCAGTGGTTTTCGCCTTCAAACTGCTGTTAACAGTCTAAGCCAGGGGTTGACAATCTGTGGCTCCGGAGCCACATGTGACTCTCTAACACTGAGAAAATGATGGGCCCTCGCAGTCTGCATGCGTCGGGGTATGCTGCACTCACATCATACACCAGTATCGTGTGTACACTACACCCTCCAAATTTCATGGACATCAGATGATGTTTGCTATACAAAGTTCACTTCCTGTTCCCATTGGGTGGCGCTATGACTATGACATATGAATATTGGCATGTAGATGTGTTCAGGGTGGAAACGTGTATTTTGGGGAAGGAGAATGTATAGTGAAGTTATGACAACTTCCTGTTTCTTGGCGAAAGACCAAAATGAAGTGCCACGCCACGAACACGCCTTTTGACGAAAACTCACATCTTTTAATCGTGATGGTCTTTAGATTGCACTGACCAAATTTGAAGTCGATCCCGACTTTGATAGTAAAGATTGTCTAGTCTAAGCTATCTGACACTATCCTGGCTAAGCATATGACTGCTGTATGACCAGGTTTCATTCCAGTTGAGAGTACACCAATTTTAGTATAAGATATTGTGATATAGCCAACCATTAATATTGAAACAGCTGTGCAAACACTCCTGAATTGCAACATACTCATGTCCGGACATCTCAAAACTGTGCAGTTAGCAGGTTTGGACATCTATGAAGATTGTTTATTTTGGCATTTTTCTTGCACTGGTTTTCAGCATCGCACCAGCTGTCATGTCAATACACGCTCAAGATAGAAATGTTTCCATAGACATGTCAGGAACAAGCTGAAAAGAAGGAGCATTGAGTTTTAAAGGCAGGTGAAGGAAGCAGGGATATACTCTACACTTGGTCAGTCTACATTAACCTCCAGCAGGCTTCCATCTGAAGAGGAGACGGGAGAAGTGTCCAACATCTGAGCAACTATGACATGACACTAAACCTCGAGGGTAAAAGTCTTCAGAGAGCTCTGCCACAAAAAGCTCTGTCTGTCAGGATGAGAAAGAAAGGGACACATGAGAGGGGAAGAGGACAATAGACATACACAAACACAACAAACAACAGAGAGGAGTGTGAGACAAAGCCATCCCCAGATTAGTATAATCATCTGATAAAATGAAATAGGATAATTCTGTATTATGGTAATGATTCATGGGAAATCACAGTCATTCATTGTGCCTGATGGGATCACAGTCATTCATTGTGCCTGATGGGATCACAGCCTGGAAACACTTCATTGTTTATATGCAATACAGGAGCAAACTGCTGCATAATATTATGGAGGTTTCTTGTACTAATTAAAAGCAACTGGTGTGATTTAGAGATGTTGGTGGCCTGGGAAATGAGACCACGCTTTATAAATCCTGTTGGTCTAACACATTGTTTGCTTCTCAGCTTTATTTGTCACTGTGCTTTGGTTAATTGGATTAAAGCCTCGTTAATAAGAGAGAGCTGTCAAACCACCAAGTAGTGACAAAGTGATGAGTGGCCATAAAATGTACAGAACTGTCTTATTGAACTACAGTCATTATCTGTGCTGCTAAAATGAAACAAAAATAAATGATAAAAAAATATGCGTACATTAATCTTCAATTAAAGATGTGATTGCACACATAATGTTTTTGGAGCTTGACCCATACCTGGGACCAGGGCCGTAACCAGGATTTTAGAAATGGTCAGGTCATGAGTCCTCGGCCTGCTACAGGGGTTGGAGGCATTTTAATGCATTTTAAGAATAACAATAATCACTTAGGAAATAATGCCAGTGCCAACACATAGATGGAAATTGTATTGTAGCTCAGTGCCCAGTTTGGACTTTTGTTAGCTATTGATGTGTGGAGTAGCCAGGCAGAAATAATCTAATTAAAATTTGACCAAAAATGATGCAATACAAGAGAAGAAAGAGGTTCCTGAAAAGTTTTTAACTTGGAAAAGTAAAAGTTGATTCATGTAGTCACATTATAAAATGAAACACAATGGAAACATAAATCAGTATACTGTATCTTAGCCTCTGCTGCATCGATTTTGTCACACAGCTTTATGAAAGTGCGGTAAATGATTGGAGTAGCCCTTTAATATCAGCACATGGCAGATACTGGTGGTTGGTTTTATAAAGAAAAACCTAGGCACAGAAATTGTTTAAAATCACACCTTCTCAAATGGTTATCTAAACCACCATCAATCTGAGAGAGAAACACATTCTGCGTCTAAACTAACTGATTTATTGGGGCTAAATCTGTGCCAGGAGAACATGAGCAATAAGTGTTCAAAGTTACTGTTACTTTTCTTAGGATTGCTCACCCCCTGGGTCCCTCTATCTGCACTTTCACCCTCCTGTTTTTTAATAAACATTTTCTTTCTTTTTTTCTAAACACTGTCATGAACAGAAAGTCAGTGATCCCCAGAAAAGCTTTTCAGAGAGTGAAATTTAAAGTCAGTGGCTGCAAACACATACAAAAAATAAGGTTTGAGTAAAATCTATTAATTGAATGATTGCTGGGTAAATCGATCGATCCAATCAATGTTAAAAATACACATCTTTACAGTGATTTGACCTGCAGTGTGGTCTTTACTGTAGTGGCTTCACCCTTTGCTTTTCTCTGGCTGCCCTTTGATTTCCACCTGAGAGAAGATGTCATATTGCCTTAAAAATGTAAAGGGGGTGGCATAAAAATAAACCCAGCACATAGAATTACTAAACTGTGAAAGACAAATGACATCATGTGACTAGTGAAAGGACTCCAGATGTTGTAGAAACAGAGTAAAGGGCCGTATAGAGTGATGAAAGGTATGGGATTTGACAGTAAATGCTAAAATGGTAGATGAGGCTAAAATGAGATGTGTATGAGGTTGATGTAAGTAGAGATGGAGCATTAGGGAGTCTACCAGCAGGTCTCATCACACATGTATGCACACGCAAACACACACTACACACACACACACTCCTGTCCAGCTCGCTGCACTCTCCACAGCTCAATAATTCATCGCCGCTAAAATAAAAATGCCATCATCTCACAAGCACAGACTCAAACACAATCAAAGATTATTCTACGAGTATTTCTCAACCAGGTCAAAATCCGAACACTGAAATCATAGCAAATAAACATCCACACACACTGCTGGATGCAGATGATGCGGATGGATAGACGGGTTGTGTCATCAGTTCGGTGTACAGACAAATAAAAAAGCACCCAAATTCTGCATCCTTTAGCTTCTTTTTTAGGATAGTGAATTATTTAATGTGTTGCCATCTGGGGTGGCCTTTCTGAGGCCAAAACTATTTAGGCTTCAGCTGTCTTTGGCTCTGCTCAGTACGCTGTCCATATCGGTCACGTTATAAAAGAAGTCCATTCATATGCAACCGCAGCCACGTGGTCAAGTTCCAACGAGACTTTTCATATTGCTCACAGTGTATCTGCTGCCTGAAATATTCTTGTGTTTTTAGTCTCTCGTGGGATTTCCGTTTGCCCTCAAGCTTTTCATCATCTCAGACATTCCTTCCGTCTGTGAGGATAAAACCAACTATTCCTTTACTACAATGACGTTTATGTCACAATGTCTCCCTCATGTCTTTCTGTCCTGCTTTGCTCTTTTCTTCTCAGCAGTGACAGGAACATGTGCATGCTAAGTACAGAAGAGAGACAATGGCAGCAGGAAAAAGTGGCTTTTTTCTGTTCTCAACTCCCTCTGTGCCACCCTCGTCGCAAGTAACCCCTGCTTACGTTTGCACCAGTTTCTTCTAAATTCATCCGATGCAGCCATCTCTGGCTTTAACAGCACATTTCTCTGTCTCTTCATCTATCACTTTTTCTTATTCAAACAGCAACATCCAAACAAGTGTGCCAACGCAATGACTAATGGTTTACTATGAAGTGTTGACTCACTGATGTCCTCTTGACCGAACACACAACTGCCATTATGAGAAAGCAGTTGAGAATAAACAGCCTTAGAATAACCTGCAGGACAAAACTTAAAGTTGCATATTTCTGCCCACCCACATAGTTTCACCCAGGGGCTGCAGAGAAGCACAGTCAGGGTTGTGTGAGGGGGAATCGCATGGTATCCTCTTGTGTAATGCAAGCATGTAATGAGAAAGAAACATCTCATTGGAGATAGCTGTAGCACCTATTGGCACATTTTACAGCATGTAGCTGATACTGAGAGAGACAGAGAGGACAGGAGACAGAGGACTGCGTGATGAGGGACTCAATATGTCAGATAAGTTACAGCATAAGTGGAATAATATCAGATGATATAGAGAAAAAAATATGGCATGCAGGAAGAGATGGAGAGTGGCACAGATAGAGACAGAGAACTAATACATCTGAAAAAAGTGGCTGTCTGGATTTAGTCATTTTACTGTAGCAGCCAGGGTGACGTTTGATAGGAGTGACAGAGCCACAGTCATGTAATGCCTCCACTGGAGAACAGAGCACAGGTCAAGAGTCATAGAAAAGAGACGTTGAATCTGTTACACAACAAAATGGAAGTGAAGAGGTCAAAGATAGGTAAAGCGTGCTCTCTAGGTCAAATCTGCAAAACTATAACAATAATGATGTCATGTTTGTACAGTTTTACTGACATAAAAATAAAAACACATTACTAATTACATATTGATTTTTTTCCTGTACAGTAATTAGCCACTTTGTTTTCAGATCGTCTTTTTCAAAACAAACAAAGTTGCACAGAATACTGTATGTGTACGGGTTGAATGATGAATAAATGTACTGAAATGATAGAATCTTTTCTGTACCAATTTCTACTAATGTAGGTTTTAATGTATGTGTGTGTGTTTGCACCGTACCGATGCCGTGCTTCTCCATCAGTGATATGAGGTCGGCTTCAGAGAGCAGCAGCGGAGGAGAGGTCTGTCCGTCCACCATCTTGATAGCAGAGGGCTGAAACTGGGAGCCTTGCTCATACACTGGAATCAGCTAGCACATACAGAGCAGGATTACTAGGATCTATCCCACACAAGCAGCAAGAGGCAGCAGGCAAACTGGAGCCGCACACAACATGCTCTTTAAAAGCAAGGTACTTAAGTATTCGTAACTGAAATTTCTCTGAGCCTTTAGATGAGGCAGACAATTCTTTAAGCTTTTTACAATACAATAATTTCTATTAATGTGTTCAGACAAAGTAAAACATCAGTATAGTGAGTTCACAGAGTTCACAGTCTGTTATCAATCTTAACTCTGTCACACACACACACACA